CCCCTGAATTCACACACTGACACACACCTGACTGGACTGAAGACACTGCTAGAGACACTGCTGTCCCTCTCCTCTCACACTCAGCCCTAATTTCTCCAGCACATACAATCACCATCTCTCCTCCAAGTCTGAAATCTGCCTTTCTGACAGCAGCTCTCAGGCCTTGAACTGAGAAAGTGGTTTGTAAACGCATGTGGTTGTGGTCCGACAGTGAAAACCCACAACAGCACAGGCAGGTCAACAGTGCATCGATTAGTTCTGGCTGTGGAAGAGAGCACAAGGGAGGGACGGGTAAGCGGAGAGCAGCTGTGACATGAATCGATTCGTCATCCTTGCTCATGCTCTTAAGGCACTCCGCCCTCTGCTCAGGCAATCCCAGGCTCGCACCCCAAGACGCCCCCACCTCGAAGAGCCCCGCAGCCACGCACGGCGCCGGCAGAGTGGCAGGTGTGTGCGGGTGTGCGTGTGCACACCGTCGAAGGCGAGATCGGGCTCGTTTCACACGCGCACGCACACACCCAGCCCTCGGGAGAGCCCGCGCCTGTTGGGTCTGGTCTCAGCCAAGCAGTGCTGCTGCCGAGCAGAGCTAAAGTCTGCAAAACTGACGCTCGTCACACTGCTTCACCAATCCAGTGTGCAGGGTGTCAACAGGGTCTAGAACCCAGGACCTCAGTAATCTGAGGACCCCCCAAACACCACCATCCGACAGGCTGCCTTTGTGTGGCATGCAGGACCTGACGAGCACATCCAAGCAAAGAGCTAGTACTCTTCCATGATCTCAAATTCCTCGTTTCCAGCAGGGAGATTAAGGCCGTCTGATTAGGTCTGATCGGTCACAGATCTCCCCAATCTCCGAAACGGATTTCCTCCCAGCCGCCACAAGGAAGGAAATTCATCAAGGCTGTGAAGATTTAATTACTCCTGTCTGGAATTTCGACACGGATTATGGCGGATTGCTTGCAGGGAAAGGAGAAAGATACACATACAATAAGCTTTTTAGGACATCCTATTAAAAGATATTAAACTAATTTCACCGTCCCATTAGTTAAAAGGCTTTTATACCGATTGCCAGGCACTAAATGAAGTAATTTCGCAGCTCAAAGAT